CATCAACATCAGCATCATCACCATCATCGGGACACCATCATCAAAATCATCAGCATCAGCTCATCATCATCATCATCATCATCCTCATCATCATCATCGGGACACCATCACCATCATCATCAACAGCATCATCAGCAACCTCATCATCATCATCATCATCATCATCATCATCATCATCAGCATCATCATCATCATCATCATCATCATCATCATCATCATCATCATCATCATCATTATCATCATCATCATCATCATCATCGTCATCGTCATCATCATATTTACCATCATCATCATCATCATCATCATCATCATCATCATCATCATCATCATCATATTCTCCATCATCATCATCATCAGCATCATCATCATCACCATCATCATCATCAGCAGCAGCATGTTCTTCATCATCATAAACATCATCATCATCAGCATCATCAGCAACATCATCATCTTCATCATCATCGTCAGCAGAATCAGCATCATCATCAGCATCATCATCATCAGCAGCATCATCATCATAAGCATCATCATCATCATCCTCACCAGCATCACCACCATCACCACCACCGCCATCGTCATCATCATCATCAGCATCATCATCATCGTCATCATCATCATTATCATCATCATCATCATCAGCAGCAGCATCATTATTATCATCATCATCAGCATCATCACCATCATCATCATCATCATCATCATCATCATCATCATCATCATCATCTTCATCAGCATCAGCATCAGCATCAGCATCATCATCATCATCTTGCCCCTCCTCCTCCTCCACCTTCTGCTCCTCCGCCTCCGCCTCCTCTTCCACGTCCCCCTCCTCCTCAGAACTATGGAGTATGGACTGAGGGCTGCGCCTGTGTCGAGCAAAGCTCCACTCCCCTCGCTTCTTTACTCCCTTCTCATTCTCAATAATTCCTCCCTGTCGCGCCCTTAGGCTTGTCGGCAGTGCGGGCCAGGTGATTCGCCTGAGACTTCCTGACCACCTCTGATCCTGAAGCCTGAAATTCGCGACAGACTCAAGGATGGAGGGCGGGTCATGTTCAAAATATGGCTCTCGGCGTAGCGCCGCGCACGTTCGTCTTAAATGCGGGCAAAAGCTTCACGAATAGAGGAGGGGTCGTTTTCAAAATTGGGTCATCGCCTCAGCGCGGCGCACTTTCGTCGAAAAGCTTTAAACAGCTTCAAGGCTGGAGGCGGCCCGTTTTCAAAATAGAGCTCTCGCCTTAGCGCCTCGCGAAGTCGTCGCAAAGCCGGCAAACACTTCAGGGATAAAGGGCAGTTCCTTTTCCGGGTGGGACTCTGGCCCTAGCGCCGCGCGCATTCGTCTCTCAAGCTTGCAGCAGTTACAAGTATGGAGCACAGGTTTCAAAATGGGTAATCGCTTTAGCGCCGCGCACTTTCGTCGCAAAAGCTTGCAACATGCACGTACCAGGATGTAGAATATGTTTCAACTTCCTTGACTTTACAAGCCGCCGCGAACTGCATGTACCGACGGCGGCACCTTTTAGAACTGGAGCTCTCGTTTGAGATCTGCTCGAAGCTCATGACAACAAGCGTAAACGTGTGCACAAAAGCGGTCCTGATTTGAAAGGGGGGCATCACTGGAAACCGCGTCAAATTGCACGACCATAACTCGAAATCCTGATTACGCGTCAGACTGAAGCAAGGTGGCTCTGTTGACGGGGCCCCTAGCAAAATGACAGGCCCATGCGGCGTTGGTGTTCAAGGGGGCCGCTTCCTGCCTACGAGTGCATGCTGGTAGCACGGGCTTGTCTAGCCAGAAATACACTCAAAACTGATAGTAGGGATGCGCGGTAAGGACGCAAGGGCCTTGGAAGGCCACGCCGACACTTCTCGAGCGGGGCGCGGCCAACGAAAGCGGCCAAGGATAGGCCGACGGGAAAGGATGCAAGGGAAACCTTGGACAGTCGTTCACTCTTACTAGCAGTGTTGACTGTAAAAGACGGTGCCCGAGGAGGCAAGGGCAAAAACAAGACAGCAAGAAGCCTGCCGCCACGGCTGTCTCGTGGCGAGAGCAGTCCTGCGTCCGCCCTCCACAGGTCTCCTCACGCTGCGGAGGGTTGATTCCCTGGGTGGGACTCTGTCAAGGGTCCTCAAACTTTTGCCGAGGCTCAATTTCACAAGCGGAAATGCGATTTCGAAACACTGCAGCCAAGGTTGCCCAAACAACCGTCTCTTCCAGGGAAAAATTATGGCTACGATGGGGCAGTCGTAGTCGTCATCAACACCAAAAAAAAAACTCGGAAGACTTTTGGGCCAACTCTTGCGCTTCCGGAGGCCGTTGTGACCCCAGGGCCGTCAAAAAAACAGCTCGGGACGAAAATCCGGCCCCGAGGAAGGGGACCAGACCTCTGGAGGTCGGCCTTGCGACAAAATCACTATGTTGGAGCAGGGCTCGAGCCAAATAGTGCTTTCTGTGCTCGTTTTGTGCTCGTTTCCATCGTTATGTGCTCGGTCCGCCTTTGCCGCAAAACGAAAACCGTCCACGAAATCGCTAAAGCACCATTTAACTCGAGCCCTGCGTTGGAAACCTGGGTCTGCCCCCGCTGCCCATCCAGCCCTGGATCCCCCCGGCGTGGCCCTGCCGCGGCGACGTAGCTGGCGCGCAGCGGCGCCACCGCCTGGCAGAGGGGACGGGAGAGGCAGCAGTGAGAGGAGAGAGGAGGGAGTAGCAGACGTGGAGGCAGAGTCCTCCTCCGTCCTCTTCCTCCCCCTCTCTTCCTCCACCTTCCTCCTCCTCCTCCTCCTCTTCCTCCTCCTCCTCCTCCTCCTCTTCTTCGTCGTATTATGATTATTTGTCGTATTCTGCGTGTTAGTAGTAATGTTATGATTATTCGTATTAGTATTACCCTTATTAATGCTGTTCTTGTTAGTACCAATAATATTGCTCCTGGTAATCATATGAGGATCCTTATTACCTTTCTGATTCGTCAAATCGTATGATACTTAGTACTATGACGGTTAACGTTATTATTCGTAGTATTATTATCCTCCTCCCCCTGCTCTTCCTCCTCCTTCCTCCTCCTCCTCCGCTTCCTGCTCCTCCTCCGACGCCTCCTCCACATCCGCCTCCTCCTCCTCCTCCTCCTCCTCCTCCTCCTCCGCATCGCTTCTCTCCCTCTCTCCCTCTCTTTCTCTCTCTCTCTCTCTCTCTTCGCACCCACCCCCCTCGCGAGAGCCTCGGCAGAGCAGAGGTGGCCGCGGAAGCGGGGCGGAGACGGGCGGGCCTTCGTGGTCGTCCGGACCACCGTGGTGCTGGACGTGGCATAGTGCCTCAGATGGTCATCGCGGCATGGACGACGAGGAAGAGGAGGAGGAAGAGGACGAGGAAGAGGAGGAGGAGGAGGAGGAGGAGGAGGAGGAGGAGGAGGAGGAGGAGGAGGGGGAGGGGGAGGAGGAGCAGGAGGAGGAGGAGGAAGGGCGAGGGGCGAGGGGCGAGGGGCGAGGGGCAAGGGGCGAGGGGCGAGGGGCGAGGGGCGAGGGGCAAGGGGCGAGGGGCGAGGGGCGAGGGGCGAGGAGGAGGATACACTTGTTTCTGTCAGGGCCAGGATGATTCTCGCAGTGTTGCCACGCTCGCTTTGCGACAGAGGCTGCACAGTACTGCGAGCCAATTCTTGAGAGTGAGCTCGCTTTCAGCACAGACAAATCTTGCCACCAACCACCACTATCTGCGACCTAGCGGTTTAGGCGGCTCATACTTCTTAGACGATTTAACAGTGAGCTCTCCAGCACACGCATCATGCACACACTGTGACCAAAGGGCGAGGGGGCGAGGAGGGTAGGGCTCTGCAGCCTGCGTCCAGAGACGGCCGCTTGGTGCTTTACCTTCTAACACCTGGTGCCGCCGGCCAGAGAAACGACACACTGGACCCGCACAAGCGGCCGACAACTGACCGAGAATGTTTCGACCTCCATCCCAACAGACGATGGTAGTAGCTTTACGCCAAGCTGTGCCAAACCTTCAATGCACTGTGTGAGTCAAAGAGGCGTGCTGCAACAAACGCACCATGGCGGGCTGTCTCCACAACCATGAGCCACGAGGGTTCTCTAGCGACGCTCCACAATTATGCTCCATGCACGCCCTGATTACACGCATGGAGATCTGCAGCAAACGGTTTCCCACGCGCACTTTTTCAGCATCCGTCGAGTTGAGACTAGGGAAACCTGCAGGAAACTGCCGAGATCGCAGAGGGCCTCCCGGCGATCCAGGTTTGCCTCGCCTCGCACCTGAGAAATTGGCGCAGGGCGTGCCAATATGCACATATTTTACACACGGCAAACTCGACAGCACATGCCTCAAGATTCTCTCTTTAGTTAAGTCCTGATCACTCGCATCACGGATCTCAAAGGTTTCAATCTCCCAGCCTCTACGCTGCAACGAAAAAGAGAAGCCATTCGCTCATGCTAACAGCTCAAGCGAGCGAGGGCGGCTGTCGACAGGCTTGAGCGGCGGCGTCAGGCAAGCACCTGCCCCCGATGCCTCTGGTCGAACACCACGGCGCAGCCGGCGCACGGGGCGCCTTCCAGGTGGGTGTCGGCCTCGGCCAGCAGTAGCCAGCGCCCGCGATCCAGCGTGGCCCGCCTGCGCATCACTCCCGAGCCTTTCTCGTACTCTATATGACGCTGAGATCCGAGGCACATCTCCCTCGATGCTTGAACGACTTGAGGGCTTGGGCCTTGGTGGGCCTGCTGTGGCAGGACACCGAGTGGCGCGGGATGTAGGGCGTCAGCTCCCAGCCGTCTAACACTGTCAGGCGCAACGCATTCCCGAACATGACATTGCCGGCCGCTGCCGACCACGGCAAGGGGAGCTGCGCGGGGCCCAGGTCTGCGGCTAGCTGCTCCATCGGGCCACGGTACGGCTGGCAAGGGCTGACCAACAGGATGAACTCGTTGAGGCCTCTCGTCGCGGTCGCCACGCTCTCCCCTGCCACCCGCAGCCCCGCCTGCCTGAGCCCCTGGCTGACGAGCGGCGCCAGAACTGCTCCGGCCGCCCATGGCACCGGCTCGCGCATGGCTGGCGGCATCATCCGCCTCCAGCCTGGCGGCGCCCGCGCCTCGCGCGGCAGCAACAGCCGCCGACCAGCGTGGGGAAGCCGATGGCCGCGGTGGCCGACCGTCGCGAGCAGCTAGGTCTTGCTGTTGGATGGCTTCTCGTTGCTGCCCACAGGGTCCATGAACTCTACCCGCGCCTCCACGAGGCCCGCGTCGGTCTCCGTTTCGAGCCTGTGGATCCTGCAAAAATCGTCGAACTGCGCCCGCCTCATCTGGCAGTCCTGCTTGGTCTCCACGGTGTTGTTCTCCTGCCCCAGCGTGGCGAGCCCACCTAGGAACCCCTGGTCCTCCTTGGCCGGATTCCTCGCGCCCCCCAACGGCGTCTGTGGCAGGCGGCCGCTCCGGCGTGCAGGGCATGGGCGAGACCTCGTCGATGAAAGACGCCGCGGCGCGATCCAACACCCCTGGGCCTCCGCCGCACGAGGAGTCGGAAGCAGCGAGGGAGGAGAAGAAGGACGATGAGGCCCGCCCTCGGGCGGGAAGCGCCGAGGAGGAGGAGGAGGAGGAGGAGGAGGAGGGCTGGAGGCCGAGGCCAGAGGAGGAGGAGGAGGACGACGACGAGGAGGTACGGGCTGAGGGCGCGGCGGAGCCAGAAAAGGCCAAGGAGGGAGGAAGAGGCGGCGGCCAGCCGGAGGTTGGGGAGCGACGACGCAGAGGAGGAGGAGGAGGAGGAGGTGGAGGAGGAGGAGGAGGAGGAGGAGGAGGAGGAGGAGGAGGAGGAGGAGGAGGAGGAGGAGGAGGAGGAGGAGGAGGAGGTGAAGAAGGTAAAAAGGGCTCCAGAGGGCGAAGACAGAGAGCCGCGAGCAGGACGAGGCCGAGGGGCTGGCGGTGGCCGGCCTGAGGGCGGGGATCGCCACAGCCGCAGAGAACCGAGGTATGTAGACGAGGCGGCGGGCGAGGTGCAGAGGAGGAGGAGGAGGAGCAGGAGGAGGAGGTAGAGGTGGAGGAGGAGGAGGAGGTGGAGGAGGTGAGGAGGGCTCCAGAGGACGAAGACAGAGAGCCGCGAGCAGGAGGAGGCCGAGGGGCCTGAGGAGGGGCGCCGGCGCCAGCGCGGTCGGGCCAGAGGAGGAGGAGCGGTGGTGGAGGGAGGCAGAGGAGGCTGAGCGGCGCGGGGCGCGCGGGGGCCGCGCTCGGCCGCGCGCGGTCCGCTCGCTTCGGGGCCCTCCTCGGACCCGAGGGCCCCGGGGAGCAGGATTATGAGGAGCAACAGTGAGCGGGACGCGCAACCACGTCTGAAGCGTGGCCCTCCAGGTCAGAGTTCTGAAACAGCGGCGGGGAGTCAGGATTGAAAGGACGTCTGCAGCCAAGCGGAGCCCCACAGCGGTATCCGATACCGCGGCGTCGACTGGGCCCGCAGGTGGGAAGACGAGCAGGAGAAGGATCGAGTCGAGAGAGCGAGAGGAGGTCTGGCATTCGACTCACAGAGCGGGCTTCTGGCGGCCGCTCGGGACGGCTCGGGCACTCCCGAAATGCTCTCGGAGAGCGCAGCTGCTGGAAAGCATTCCCGAGGCGAGGCAGCATCCAAAAGGACCAACAAAAACACATTCGAAAACCTCTCGCACGCGGAGGGCGTGCGCAGCCGACCCTGAGCCCAGGATGGGGCCAGGCTTAAGTCGGGCGTGTCCCCCTACAGGGGGGTTTTCGACGAAAAATAAGAAATACTCCAAAAATACTCCCAACAAAAAACAAAAAAATACTCAAAACATAGTCCCCAGACTATTTTGTGACTATGTTTGAACATTCCTCCTGTAGAGGGACGGGCCCGACTTAAGGCCAGGCCCGGAGCACCGAGGTGGTCAGTGTTGACGCCCCCCGATCCCGAGGCCTCCGGCAGCCTCGGGAGACCTCCGAAGATCCCCGCGGAGAGCTCCGCGCTCTGCCACCGCATGCGCGCCGTGACGCCGATCCCTGCTGCTCCCTCGAGGCCGCCGTGCCGCCGGCGCCCCCCAGGGTGAAGTCGGGCCTGTCCCTCTACAGGAGAAGTATTCAAAAATAGTCCCAAAAAATAGTCTGGGGACCATTTTTTCAATATCTTTGGTCATTTTTGCATATTTGTTGGATATTTTTGATTTGTCATCGAAAATCGCCCTGTAGGGGCGCGGCGCGGCGCTGTAGCACAGACTGTCTTGGAGAGCAGCGAGGGGGTTTGCGCAGATCGAGGCTGGGGTGGGGAGCACTGCAGTCAAAACCGAGAGTGAGGCTGCGCGGCGAGGATGCGAGCCCATTGTACGGCCACGTCGAGGCTCTTCGAGCAGGGCGGTCCATCGAAAGTAGTCGATGATGGACCGAGGAGGCAATGATGCAGGGGTACCCTTAAGAAGGTTGCACATCCTTACCATCATTGGTTGCGACTGTAGGGGGGGACTGGCTCAGGGGGGGAAACATCGACATGGACTCGGCGACATGCATCGCCGACAGATCGGCGATAGGCCCCCCCCATATCGAAACCGCACGTTCCTGAGCGGGGTGGGCTATCCCGATCCCATCGGTGATAGATGGACGATTGGGGGTCGATGCATCCACCCCAGAGCCTATCCCCCTTTGACGTTGCCGTCGATGCCAGGAGAGCGGCGGAGAGGGTGTGCCAGCGCAGATTCAGGCGCTGCCTGCCCCGTCGCGGTCTGGGCTGATCCTTCTCCCTGCCCGTCGTGCTTGGGCCCAACGGCCCGCTGAGCTGGAGCACGCGAATCCCGCCCCTGCAGGTCAGACTCGTGAAACGCAGGCTGGGATTCAGAACTCGCAGGATGCCTGCAGCCAAGTTAGAGGCCTTCAACACGGGGTCCGAGTAGATGGGGTCAGAGGATCGCGGACGATCGCGCCACACCAGCGATGCACCGGCGATGGACAGAGAAAATCGCACTCCGCATCGCACAACATCGGCAATCCGGCGCGATCCGCTGACCCTGTCTGCTCGCACCCCAGTACATGCAGAAGTGGGCCTAGGCAAGAGTGACCTTTGGTGGCGACTTCAGGGGACCTAGGGGGGGCGGACCCAAGCCGCGCAGGCCAGTGCTGGAGGGAAATCATCACGTCACCCCGCACCAGGTAACTCCGGCAAAAGGTCTGGGTAGAAAGGAGACGAGGACCATGACCAGCACCGAACACAGAAACGTCGGTGCCGATCTTGGTCATCGTCCGTCTTGGTCACCGCCAATTCGTGGACCATCCTCGCGAATCGGCTGAGGCCCGCTGGACAATGACCAGGGTCGGTGTCGACAAGATCCCGCTACATCTTGGCCATGGCCAGCACGTCGCTGGGCTGTTGGGCTACAGCTCAGGCTCCGGCGGCCGCCCAGGACGATCTGGGCACCGCCAGAACGCCCTCGGCGAAGAGCAACTGCTGGAAGGCACCCCCAGGCTGGAAAGCCGCCGAGAAGAAACGAAACCGCCCAAAAACCTTGCTTCAAGTCGGGCGGGTCTCCCTACATGCAGATGTTGGGCGAAAAATTAAACATACCCCCAGAATACCCAAAAAAACGCTCAACAATTGTCAAAAAATCGTCCCCAGCCTATTGTATTACTATTTTTGAATATTCTCCCTGCAGATGGACAGGCCCGACTTAGACCTCGACCCTCGAACCCTACGACGGCGGTCGTCGCGCTTCCTCCCCCCGACAGGCCAGCCCTCACGCGTGGCCGACGGGAAGGCAGAGGCCGCCGCGCCAGGGGCCCGCACAGCGCTTGGCCCTGGGAGAGGACGAGCCCACCCTGGCCGGCGGCGACCTCGCGCGGGCCACGCGGAAAGACGGGAAAGGGGAGGAAAGGGGAGGCGGAGGGAGAGGAGGGGGAGGGGGCGGGGGGAGGAGGAGGAGGAGGAGGAGGAGGAGGAGGAGGAGGAGGAGGAGGAGGAGGAGGAGGAGGAGGAGGAGGAGGAGGGGGAGGGGGAGGGGGGGGGAGGGGGAGAGGGGGGGGGAGGAGGGGGAGGACCAGAGGGGAGGAGAGGTGGGGGGAGGGAGGGGGAGGAGGGGGAGGAGGGGGAGGAAGGAGGAGGCGGAGGACCAGAGTAAGCCAAAGATGCTGCAACACCACTGGAGGAGGCAGACGAATAGGCAGGCGACGCGGACGAAGACGAGGACGAGGACGAGGACGAAGACGATGACGACGACGACGACGACGACGACGACGACGACGACGACGACGACGACGGCGACGAGGAGGACGAGGACGAGGACGAGGACGCGGACGACGACGCGGACGCGGACGCGGACGCGGACGCGGACGACGACGACGACGACGACGACGACGACGACGACGACGACGACGACGACGACGACGCGGACGAGGACAGGGCAGAGCCGCCCGTGGGCGGCGAGAGCGCCTGGGGCGCGGGGCCGCCGACCAGCGCAGACCCCGCGGGCACCACGATCGCCGGACGAGCGACCTCTCCAGGGCGGGGAGGCAGAGGTCGCCGTCGTCGTCGGGGGGGCGGGGGGAGGGGGATGGGGGAGGAGGAGGAGGAGGAGGAGGAGGAGGAGGAGGAGGAGGAGGAGGAGGACAAAAAAGAGGGGGAGGAGAAGGAGGAGGAGGAGGCGGAGGAGGAGGAGGAGGAGGAGGAAGAGGAGGAGGAGGAAGAGGAAGACGAGGAGGAGGAGGAGAACGAGGAGGAGGAGGAGGAAAAGGAGGAGGAGGAGGAGGGGAGGAGGAGGGGGAGGAGGAGGAGGAGAGGAGGGGAGGAGGAGGAAGGAGGAGGAGGAGGAGGAGGAGGAGAAATGGAGGAGGAGGAGGAGGAGGAGGAGGAGGAGGAGGAGGAGGAGGAGGGAGGAGGAGGAGGAGGGGGGGGAGGAGGAGGAGGAGGAGGAAGAGGAAGACGAGGAGGAGGAGGAGGAGGAGGAGGAGGAGGGGGAGGAGAAAGAGGAGGAGGAGGAGGAGGAGGAGGAGGAGGAGGAGGAGGAGGGGGAGGAGAAAGAGGAGGAGGAGGAGGAGAAAGAGGAGGAGGGGGAGGCTCAGGGGGAGGCGGAGGAGGAAGGAGGGGGAAGGAGGAGTTGTGGAGTCCTAAATACAACAACCAAGTCGCGGACGGAATTACTTATCTGTCCGTTTCCTGGTAAGCTTGACATATATGTAATATTCCGAAGGCCACGAGCTTGCATATCCAAGCGGGACCTAACTGGAACGGCGGACGGAGGGAGGATGAGGAAGGAGGAGGAGGAGAAGGAGGAGGACTAGGAGGAAAAGCAGGGGGAGCATTGAGAAGCAAGGAAAGAGAAAACACGAAAAAGGGAGGAGAAAGAAGAGAAGGAGGAGCAGCGAGGAGGACGGAGGGAGGGAAGGGGGGGAACAATGCAAAGAAATGTAAACATTTGTTGATTCGTGGGTCGAGAGCGCACCTCTTCCGGTCGAAGCTAAGCGGGCCGCGCGAAGCTTGAATTAATCAGAGATGGGGGAGGAAAAAGGGGGGCGCAGCCTCAGAACGAGGCTGGGAGGAGGCAAAGCCTCGGAATCTGGCGGCGCCGAAGCCGACGCACTTGCAAAGGAGCGCCTTCTCCATGAACCCGGTGGCGAGGTACCGGTCGAAGCAAAATGCTGTGGTAGGTGCTGCCGTCTACGGCTCATCATTTTACACCAGCCTCGAGTTGGCGGCGAAGTGACGCGCCTTGCGACCAAGCTGCGTCAGGGATCTGGGAGGACGAGGAGAGCGGCACTGAGACGAAGTGCAGCGTTGTGCCATCGTGCAGGTAGCAGGAGCGGGTGCCACAGGGCCTTGGTGGTTCATGGTGCCACAGGTCCAGGGTACAGGAGCCGCAGGGACTTGAGGCGCGGCAGTCAGGACACTCCAAGAACATGCCGCCTGTGACAACCGACAGACAGGGTGCCGGTGCACTGGAGCAGGAGGTGGAACGGATCCAGCCCTGCGGGGGCGAGCGCTCAGGACCGGGCCGAAGCCGCGCTGTACCAGGGCGCTGCCGTTGTCCGCGGAGCCCAGGGCCGGGCGGGGGCCGCGCTGCGCCCAGGACCGCGGGGCCGCCGACGCGGCAAGGTGAAACAGGACCAGCGCGTGCGAGCACTGGGCGCCGGGCCGAAGCCGCGCTGTGCCGGGCGCGGCCGCCATGGTGGCGGGAGGGGGGGTAGCGGGCGGGGAAAGGGATAAGCGGGCAGGGAGGAGAGAGACCAGCCAGGCTGGCCTGCCAGCGCCGCGAAAGAAATGTAAACATGCAGACGCGGAGATTTGCCGGTTCATGGGGGCCAACGGGCTGCCAGGCGGAGGCGTCCTGTTCCCTTCATCAGTTCCGGCGCGAGGGCTTCTACTGCTATTGTTGCAAATTCCCCAAACAGCGGAAGCTTAGGGGGTCTTACTTGGTCCGTGCCGCCCCGTGCCGCCCCAATGCCGCCCCGTGCCGCCCTCGTGCCGCCCCATGCCGCCCCCGTGCCGCCCCGTGCTGCCAGTGCCGCCCGTGCCCGTGCCGCAGTGCTTTGCTTTGCTTTGCATTGCTTTATTTGCATTGCTTTGCATTACTTTGCACTGCTTTGCCTTGCATTGCATTGCATTGCTTTGCATTGCTTTGCATTGCTTTGCATCGTGTTGCATCGTTGTGCATCGCTTTGCTCTGCAAAGCTTTGCTTTGCATTGTGTTTCATTAGTGTGCATTGCATTACTTTGAATTGCATGAAATTGATTTGGCTTGCTTTGCATTGCGTTGCGTTGCTTTGCATTGCTCTGCATTGCTTCGCATTGCTTTACACTGCGTTGCTTCGCATTGTGTTGCATTGCATTGCGGTGCACTGCTGTGCATTGATTTGCATTGCATTGCTTTGTTTGATTTTGCCTTGCTTTGCATTGCTTTGCTTTGCATTGCTCTGCTTTGCTGTGATACGGTGTGCTTTACCTTGCATTATGCTGAATTGTGTTGCATTACTATTCATCGCTTTGCATTGCTTTGTTTGGCTTTCATTTGGTTTGCTTTGCTTTGCATTGGTTTGATTGCATTGGTTTGCTTTGATGTGCATTGCTCTGCTGTGCAGTGCGACGGTTTGCTTTGTCTCGCATTATGTTGCATTGCGTTGTATTACTGTTCATTGATGTGCATTGATCGCTGTGCTTCGCATTATTCTGCATTGCATTGCTTTGCATTGCTTGTTATGGCTTTGCGTTGCATTGTCTTGCATTGCATCGCTTTGCAGTGCTTTGTATTGCAATACTTTGCTCTGCATTGCATTGCATTGCTTTGTTTTGCACTGCTTTGCATTGCTTTGCATTGCTTTGCTTCCGCCTGTGCCCGCGGCGCATTGCTTTACGTTGCATTGCTTTGCAATGCTTTGCATTTCCTTATATTGCACTGCATTCCTTTGCTTTGCTTTGCATTGCTTTCCTTCGCATTCCTTTGCATTCCTTCGCATTGCGTTGCTCTGCTTTGCTTCCGCCGCCGACCGCGGCGCATTGCTTTGCTTTGCATTGCTTTGCTCTGCATTGCTCTACACTGCACCACTTAGCATTGCTTTCGTTTGCATTGCTTTGAATTGATGAGCATTCGTTTGCATTGCTTTGCATTGTTCTGCCTTGCGTATATTTGCATCGCTTTGCCTGGTATTGCTTTGCAGTGCATTGCGTTGTCCTGAATTCCCTTGCTTTCAATCGCTTCGCATTGCTTTGCTTTGCATTACCTTACCTTGTTTTGCATTGCTTTGCGTTGCATTGCATTTCTTTGCATTGCTCTGCCTTGCTTTGCATTACACTGCTCGCCACTAGAATGGCACCATATAGCTACCCTTTTGCAAGAAAAAACAAATGCTCCCCCCCCTCCCCCCCCCGGGATTGCCGAGCCCTCCTGCTCGCACTGCAATTCACAAACGATTCTGCCCCATCGCTCACACGAAATTTAAATTTACACCATCCCGGGGGAATTGGCATCGACCCCCCCCCGTCGTTCTCTGAAAAAGTAGCATGCGCGCGCACCCGTTTATCCAAAATGATCAGGTCTCTAAAACCATTAAACACACATGGTTTCGAAAAAAACATGGTCAGAAAAAGCTTGCACTCGCGCTCTTGCGAATTCTTGGTTCTCCTTTCTAAAAAAAAATAGACTCTACCCCTCCCCCCCCCCAGCATTATCCGTCCCCCTTTCGGGTATGTAAATCATATATTATTCTGGCCACATGTCTATCCTAAATATAAATGTACACTATCCCAGGGGGGTCGGTATCGGCCCCCCTGAGGTTCCCTTGCAAAAAAACTACGCGGGGACATCTATTGTGCTAACAGAACACTTTTTCGCGAATCCTTTGCAAAAAACGGGACGAAGTGCACACGCGCGCGTCATCGCGCGCGCATGCCGAAATCCTCCAAAAACCTTCGGTGTCAGAAGGATTTCGCAATCGAGTTTCCAAAAAGCATACAAAAACACAAGGTTTCGCAACATTGAATTGCAAAGAAAGCTTACGCGCGAGCTCTTGCGAACTCTTAAGAAAACCATGGTTTCTTCCAGATTTTCACAAAATGCTACCAAACGGGCTTCGCGCGCGCGCATGTCGAAATCTGTCGAACGCACTTGCGCGTGTGCCGTCCCGAGAACCCTCTGCAAAAACCGGGACGAAGTGCAGACGCGCGCGTCGTCGCGCGCGTAGGCCGAAATCCTTCCAAACCCATCGGCTTCGGAAGGATTTCAACATCGCGTGTCCAAAAAACCTACAAGAACACAAGGTTTCGCAACACGGATTTTCAACAAAGGCGTGCGCGCGCGCTCTTGCGTCGTCGTCGTCGTCGTCGTCGTCGCCGTCCTCCCTCCTCCCGCGTCGTCGTCGTCGCCTACGTCGTCCTCTGTCTTTCCTAGTGTTCGTCGTCGTCGTCCTCTTCGGCGTCGTGGTCGTTTCCGTCGTCGTTGTCGCCGTGGTCGTCCTTCCTCTTCTTCCCTCGTCATCGTCGTCCGTCGTCGGCGTCTCGTCGTCGTCCCTCCTATTTCGTCGCCGTCGTCGTCGTCGTCGTCGTCGTCGTTGTCGTCGTCGGCGTCGCCGTCCTTCCTCCTTCTTCGTCGTTCGCGTCGTCGCCGTCCTCCCTCCTCCCTTGTCGTTGTCGTCGCTGTCGTTGTCGCCGTCGTCGTACTCCCTCCTCCCTCGTCGTCGTCTTCGTTGGCGACGTCGTCGTCGTCTTCGTCGTCGTCGTCGGCGTCGGCGTCGTCGTCGTCTTCGTCGTCGACGTCGGCATCGTCGTCGCCGCCGTCGTCGTCGTCGTCGCCGGCGTCGTTGACGTCATCGTCGTCGTCGGTGTCGTCGTTGTCGTCGTCGTCGGCGTCGTCATCGTCGTCGTCGTTGTCATCGTTGCCGTCGTCGGCGTCGGCGTCGTCGTCGTCGGTGTCGTCGTCGTCGTCGTCTTTGTCGGCGTCGTCGAAGTCGTTGGGGACGTCGTCGGTGTCATCGTAGTCGTTGTCGCTGTCGTCGTCGGCGTCGCTG